AATATGATTGGCTAATACTTTTAGATCCAGCCAATCATATTAAGAAATCACTGAGCGCTCACTCAACAGTTGTGTCTGCTGAACGCGGCCATTCTCGTTTCTGTCTACAATGGTCGTAGTTGTAAGAATAATCGACTGCGATTGGTCAATTCTTATCGAGCGACTACGACTACGACCATTGTAGACAGAACCGAGAATCATTGTAGCGGAGGCTTTAGTATATATTTCAGTGATCCGAACACACCCTCTTTCGTGCGTCCGCGTAGTCCCAGATCGCGCAAGTAGGGCTCGCGACTCTCGCGAAAGTCGTCACGGGCCATTTTGGTGCATCGCCGTGTGTCCGTGAGCAGCTGTGCGCAGGATAATCGTCTCGTCTCGTCTCGCCGCGAAATGTCCGCTCGCGGCCGCGCGCGCTACGTAAAGTGCGGCGTCGCAAAGTGATTGACGATCGTGACGGCGCGCGTCCGGCTGCGTCCGGCGAGCCGACGTGGACGCCGCTCGTGAAATCCGTCGTCGTCATCGTCGCGGTCGCGGGTGGTGGCGTGAAACCGCTCGTCCGCCCGGAGGGAACAAAGAGAGCGCCCCCCGCGTTCGCGGAGCGCCTTTTGTCAACCTTGACCCGCTCGTCGGCAAAAACAGTGAGTGTCCCGTCGGCGATAAAAATAGTCGCCGCAGCCTCGGGAGGTTTTCCCTCGGCGTTTAAAAAAGAAAGCCTCTCTCTCCCCGCTCTCGCTTCGCGTCGCGTTGACTAATCCGCGTGATATATCGAGGAGAGCGTAGTTATATACGCGCGCGAGGTTGCTTGCAACGCAGTACGGTGTGATACGCTTTGCACCCGCGTCGTCGCGCTCTCTTGGCTCCGGATCTCGCATTTCCTTTGTGTATATTTATACATATATATATATATATATATATATATATACACACATACATACGTACGTATGTGTAACTTGTATATGTAGACGTTAAATTCGCAACGAATATCTTGGCAATATTAAAAAATGTAGGCACCATGTTTAAGACGTAGCTTGGCACGTGAGCTCACGTTGAACGGCTGTGCTTTCAGGTTTCGTGAGCTACTGGAGATGGTGACGTGTGTGCAATAGGGGGAATCCTCCGAGAGTACTTGTTTCAACTTATGTGGTGAAAGACTCGAGGTTAACGCAATCGCGTGGCCATGTTTCGCGGTGATGAAATATTGGCTGAATCAGCTGTGATGTAAGGACAAATTAAGATGCGCACTTGCCTGGATTACGTCTACGATCACGTCTATTGTGTATATCCTATTGGTTAGTTTTCGTCTCTTTTTCCCCCCCCCCCCCCCTGTGGCAGTACAATTTCCCTCTACGAGTCTCTCGTGCTTAATGTTTCAGTATACATTGCGTGGCGAGTTTAAATGAGACAAGATGAGCGGTGAAAGTGCGAAGGACAGCCAGCAGCCGAGCCTGGCGAATTATCGCCCCGAGATGCTGAATCGCCCCCCCATGCAGCCCACATTTCCGGAGACAAACAGACTATGCGTGGACGTATGGACGGAGAAGATGAACAAGGGGGTGCTGACGAGTATTAACTTCAGGGAGTACTGGCGGGTTTGGGTGCCAAAGATATACAGCCCGGGGTCCAAGAGCAACTGTCTGGAGTGGGCCATCGACGAGGACACGGCCAACAGGATGCTCCTGAGGACCCTGGAGGAGTTCATCTGCGGCGGCGATCCGCAGATGATCCTCAAGGAGCTGAGTATGATGGACAATCCGCCGTCCATATGCGGCAGGATGTTCAAGATGGGCGAGCCCACCTACAGCTGCAGGGAGTGCGGCATGGACTCGACGTGCGTCCTCTGCGTGGACTGCTTCAAGCAGTCGGCGCACCGGAACCACAAGTACAAAATGGGCACGTCCAACGGGGGCGGGTGCTGCGACTGCGGCGACACCGAGGCCTGGAAGAAGGAGCCGTTTTGCAAGACGCACGTGGCGGGGACGCAGACGAAGGAGGCGCGCGGCAACAAGCTGCCCGGCGACATCGCCGAGAGAGCGGTGGTGACTTTCGAGGCGTTGCTGGAGTACTGTTACGAACTGCTGACCCTCAAGTACACCGTGGCACTGCCGTCGAATCTCTGCACCAAAGACACCGCGCCCTATCCCTCGCTCGGGCCGGACAGACCTCAGAGGGATATTTTCGAAACCTACTGCACTGTGCTCTTCAACGACGAGCATCACACCTTCGATCAGGTGATAAACATGCTCACGCGCGTTCTCGAGTGCACGCAGAAGGAGGCGGTGGAGTACGTGACCAACGTCGACAGGGAGGGCAGAGCTGTGATAAAATGCGGGCTGTTTGAGCTCTGCCACGATCTGCGCAACGAGGTCGAGAAACACACGTACAGGCACAGCAATCGGCCGCTCAAGGTGCTGATCCTCCACACCCACATAGTCGCCCATCAGACGTTCGCCATAAGACTGCTCAATTGGCTGCAACAGTTTATCAGCCACTGCGAGGGCTTCCGCGTTCTGTTCAGCAACATCGCCCTCAACACGAAGCTACCCGACATGTCGATCGTCGAGGGCATACTCACGAGGGACTCGCAGCTGTGGAAGTCCGCCAGGACGGTCTGGCACAGGCTGTTCATCTACGGAATGCTGATGGAGTACGAGAGCAAGAAGGCGCTCTCCATCGTGTTTACAGACAACTACGGGTCCGTTATGAAGGACTTCATCAAGGACGACCACGATCACTCGTTCTCGATCGTCTCGCTCTCCGTTCAGCTGTTCACCGTGCCGACCCTGGCGCACTTGCTGATCGCGCAGCACGAGGCGCTGTTCGACCTACTGACCACGTTTATATCCGAGAGCTCCCGGCGATGCAACGCCACCGGCAAACTGGAGTTCGAGAGGAACATGCCGCATCACAACTTCAAGCGGGCGCAGTATATACTTTACGACCTGCGGTACCTGTTGAGCGCCAAGCCGGAGAAGTGGACGGACGATCTACGACGCGGCTTCCTGCAGGGCCTCTCGCTACTGTACAACCTCCTCTCCAGCATGCAGTGCATGGACGCGATGCTCCGGCAGGTTGGACAGCACATGGAGTACGAGCCGGAGTGGGAGTCCGCGTTCAATCTGCACATAAAACTGTCGCCGGTCATCACGCTGGCCTTGGAGTGGTGCAGCTCGGATCGCGTGGTGCTCATCAAGTCCTTCATAGCGCTTCTGAAGAAGCTGCACGAGCAGCAGGGGAACGAGCAGCAGCCGAGCCAGGTGCGAGAGCTGGCGAATCATAGCGCGACCTGCCTGCAGTACGACGTTGCGTCCGAGCCGGTCTCCGTTCACCTGCCGCTCTCGCGATTCCTCGCCGGCCTGTTTCTCCATCTGGAGAAGTACAATTTGCACTTTCAGTCGCCCGAGTTCAGCAACCCGATGAAACCGACGCCCGAGCAGATCATCGATCCCGTGCTGACGACGCAGGCCATGATCTCGCAGGTGCACGCGGGCATGTGGCGGCGAAACGGCTACTCCCTCCTGAATCAGCTGTACTTCTATCACAACGTCAAGTGCCGCAGCGAGATGCTGGATCGGGACGTCGTTTTGCTGCAGGTCGGCGCGTCGCTGATCGAGAGCAACGAATTCCTGATTCACATCCTGAACAGGTTTAATCTCCTCGACTGGGTGCAGCCGGACTTCGAGGTGAATCCGGAATTCCGCGCCCTGAAGAACTCGGAGGACCCGGACAACATGCGGCAGACGATCAATCTGGTGGAGGAGTTCCTGGGCCTGCTCATCACCATCATCGGCGAGAGATACGTCCCCGGGGTCGGCCAGGTGACCGCGGACGATCGTCTCAAGAAGGAGATCATACAGCAGCTGTGCATAAAGCCGCTCTCGCACTCGGAGCTGAGCAAGACGCTGTCGGAGGACGTTGTGTACAACGTTCAGAGCGAATTGGAGAGGGTGATACACGAGGTGGCCGAGTTCAAGAAGCCCGCACACACGTCGACGAAGGGTGTGTACGAGCTCAACTCGAACTTGTACTCGGAGTACAACGTGTTCTTCTATCACTACACGAAGGAGGAGCACAGCAGGTCCGAGGAGGTCCAGCGGAAGCGCCGGAAAGCTCAGGGAGAGCTGGAGTGTTGTCCGCCGCCGAAGCTGCCCAAGCTAATGGAATCGTTCAGTCTGGTGGCGAATCTGCTGCAGTGCGACGTCATGCTCCACATCATGCAGACTGTGCTGGAGCGCGCGCTCAATTTCATAGCCAGGAGCTTCTCCGAGCCGCAGGTGCACAAGGTGCTGTATCTGATCGGCTACGCGCTGCAGGAACAGGAGTCCGGCTACTATCCCTTCCTCGCGTTCCCCGAGCGGGCGGCAAAGTGGAAGATCTACAAGCTGCTGGAGAACCTGACCAGCAGCCCGCGCATGGACGCCCACAAGGATCTGCTCACGTGGGTCCTGGCCAAGTATCGCCAGGTGGCCAGTTTGTCTGGGAAGGAGACCAGCCCGCCTCTTCAGCTCGAGCAGCAGCAGCAAGCGGGCGAGACTGACGCCAACACCAACAAGGAAACTGACAAAGAGTGGCGGACGAAAATGGCAGCTCAGAAGCGTGCCAAGATCATGGCGCAGATGGCGGCTATGCAGAAGCACTTCATGAAGAAGAACGCCACTCTGTTCGAGGACACGAGCCTGGATGCCAACAGCAAGTCCAGCGACCGCGACTCCGCCATGGACCTGACGGAGGCCTGTTCTCAGGAAGGCTCGCCCGTCGCCGTCGGCATCCATCAGACCAGCAGGATGTGCGAGCAGAAAGTGTACACGTGCATTCTGTGCCAGGAGGATCAGATCGTGACGGAGAACGGCTCGGCGATGGTGCTGGCCGCGTTCGTTCAGCAGTCAACCGTGTTGTGCCAGCGCCACGGCGACTTCCAGGAGCCCGACCCGCTCTATCTGTCGGCGAAACTGGGCATGTCGCCGCACACGAGCACGTGCGGCCACGTGATGCACTCTCGCTGCTGGCAGGATTACGTCGACAACGTGCTCGCCAAGGAGAACCGGCGGCCCTACAGATCGCGACAGCAGACCAGCTTCGACGCCGAGAACCACGAGTATCTCTGCCCGCTCTGCGAGTGCCTCAGCAATACCGTTCTTCTACTCGTACCGCCCTTGGGAATGATGCAGGCGACCCCGGAACCGCAGCCGGACATTACCTTCGAAACGTGGATGAAGGTGATGTCGGTCACGATGGAGTGCAAGTCGAACAGGCAATTCGGCAAGGCCATGGAGAAGGACGAGGACGGGCTTGAAGTTGAAAGGATAATCAATCCCATGTTGGTCCTCCGTCAGCAGGTCACGTGCGCCTGGGAGCCGTTCCAGGCGCAGTATTCGCGATGCGGGCCGCACCTCGCGCGAAGGATGGAAGCCATGATCAACATGTACGCCGCGCTCTTCGTGCAAAACTCGTACAAGGGATTCGGCTGTTCCGACGGTTATCCGAGGATGCCTTTGTTGGCCTGGAAGTCGGTCTCGTACACGGTTCACGCGATAGAGTTCCTGCTGCGCGACCTGGACAAGCCGCTACTGGGCGCCATGACCTCCCGACAAAACGACAGCCTCGAGAGCCTCGTGCGGCTGTCGGCCCTCCTGGGCGCGAGTTTCTCGAACGGCGCCAACCTCTGGTCGCAGCACGAGCATATCAAGATGTATTCGGCGTTGTTGCTGACAACGCTGGTAGACGAATCGACGTTTTCAGCCGCTGGGCCCAGCATCTTCGATATCGACCCTTTCGGCGTATTAGTGCCGCTCATTAACTCGCTGCCGAGCATCTTCCACATGAAGGTGCACGAGGTGGCGGCGAACTCGCCGCCCATCATCACGGGCGACGTGTTCGATTCGCACGTGCTCAAGCTCGTGTTTCTGTCTCACATAGCGAAGATTCTCTACACGTCCGACTTCACCGACGCGATGGAGCTGGACAGCCACGAGACGAAGGACGACGACGATGGAGAGGAGGTGGAGGAGGACGACATCGACGCCAAGAGGGACTTTGCCCTGTTCAACATTCTGGGCGTGAACTACGACAAGCAGAGAGCCAGCGACGTGTGGCGACGAGTGGAGGCCGCCTGTCGGCCTTTCCTCCGGTGTTGCGCTATCTACTTTCACTACTTGACCGACGTGCCGCCGCCGAGCGAGTTGACGCAGGTGCGCGGCGACACGTACGAGAAGCTCTGCCAGTACCTGGGACTGCCCACCACCTGTGACGCTCTCATCTACTCCCACTTGGAGGTCAACCTGAAGCTGATGGCCCTGTGGCGGCGGCACCCCACCGTCTGGAATCACATGATGGGCGTGAGAAAGGTGTCGATCGTCAAGGACCCGTTGAAGATCAACAAGCTGATAGTCCTACCAGACGACTACAGCGAGCTCATCAACTCGATATCCCAGTTCACCTGCCCGAACAGCGACCGGGAGGACTCGCGTAACCCGACCATGTGCCTGGTCTGCGGCGAGATGCTCTGCTCGCAGAGCTACTGCTGCCAGATGGACCTGCCCAACAATGTCTCGGTGGGCGCGTGCACCTTCCACGCGAACAAGTGCGGCTACGGCGTCGGCGTGTTCCTGCGCGTACGCGAATGCGAGATCCTGTTCCTGCGCACGCCCAATCGCGGCTCCTTCGTCTGCCCGCCGTATCTCGACGAGTACGGCGAGACGGATCAGGGTCTGAGGCGCGGCAACCCGTTGCACCTCTGCCACGCCAAGTACCAGCAGCTCCACCACATGTGGCTCGGCCACGGCATCCACGAGTCCGTCACCCGGGCGTTCGAGCAGTCCTCGAACAACCTGATGCCGACCCAGTGGCAGCATCTATAACTTCGTGGGATCCTCGCCGCCACGACGCCGCGGATCTGACGTTTTAGACGAAAGAAAGAAAAAAAAAACGTGAGGAAAGATTTCAGTCTTACGCTTAAGCGAAGCTGTAGCCTAAATATTGATTGTTGGTCGTCCGCAATTCGATCCGCATCTGCAACGAGATCGGCGAAATTGATTTAATCGGTGCGCGCACGAACGCTACGACTTTCTACACTTAAAAAACGATAATTGGATATATCGTTCCCTCTCTCTTCTCCGTCCCCCTGTCTTTCCTCGCGCCGATTCTTACAGGTTCACCGGTCGCGTGGGGGTTTCAAAGTTAACAAAATTTATATTTTTTTAGATCGTTTCCAAGTTAACGAAGTTTCTATATTATCCGTTACATAAATTACTATATGACTCTGTTCACGTATTTATTAAAAGTATTTATTCAAATTACTACGAAGATTGTTACATATGTGTTCTGTTGCTTGTAGATACGAGTCCGTGACTAACTCGGAACGGTCGTCACGAGACGCTTGTTTCTTTTGCGAAAATCTGCAAGTTTTCGTCCGCATGTACAAACGACGGAGCCTGTGTCTTAAATCACCCCCGAAGACCTAGAACAATGAGCGAGAGGGCGACTCGCCATTCATCCACATCATCGTGTAAAAACCACTCGATTCACACATTTCGCGTGCGGGACAGCGCGCTGCAACGCGCGGGAGACAAAGAACGCCGTTGCGATTTTTATAATTAACAATCGCGAATTATTCTAGGTCGACGGGTCCCTCTGCCTTTTCTTTCATTCTTCCGCTCTTGTCCCCACTTAATGTTATTCCGCGCGTACGCAGGACGTGAAGAGGAAAAGGAGAATACGCTGATGGAATAATTTTTAAAGTCTCGGTGGTGTGTGAAATAAATAATACGTAACTTAACGTTTGTTTCTCTCTCTCTGTCTCTGTCTCTCTCTCTCTCTATATATATATATATATATCTCTCTCTCTCTATCTGTCTCTCGTTGCTAGTTTCTTCTAGATGCTACTGGAAGCGAAGTTAACAAGCCGCTCCGAGAACACTGGCGCTCCGGCATCGTACTTGACTCTTCGTTTGTTCAACGCATTCAACTGACTCTTACGTACATACACCTGTAACCGGATATAGAGGATAATTAGAATTACTATTGTTAGAGGAAGAAGTGTGTGTAAATACTGAGATATTGTAATATTGGTGAATTGCTCGTCCCTCATTTGTGCGCAGGGCTGATTCGCCGCAAGAGACTGACAATTTGCGGCGCGTTATTCGATCAGTCTTTACTGTCTTACATTTCTTTCTCTATCCCCGTAGGCCACGAGGCCCGCGTCCCCCCCCCCCCCCCGAATCACGAAGCGACGAAGAGAATGTCGGAGTCGAAACAGGAAACCATTGTAGCGCATCTCGCGGAGGTCACCGGCCGCGGCAAGAAAACAGTACAACATTGTTGCGCTCGTCGTCACACCCGGATTGCTTGAACGAAATTACGATACCCGAGGTGTTTCTAGCAATACGCGCAAGAGGTTGTGCCGCTGTACATTAGATCGCTTATTGTAAGGTCGACACTGCAATGATCAATTAACGATTTTAATGATACTCGCGAAGATACGTATATATTATATACGAGTTGCATAATATTGTATTTGTTATGGACAACGGCGTGGAGATGCGGACGTCACCGGACGTCGTTAATTGTACATTGATTTAGGTGTATTTGTACTAAAAGCTCACAGAGCGCGAGACGGTGATTTCGGAATATAAATTATTCGAATGCTGGATCTTGGGGAGATTTTAGTAGATAGACGTGTTCTGCAGTAGATATATAGCTCTTTCGAATCTCAAACGCCGCAGGATCGTTTGTATTCTTACTGAAAGTTCTGATATATCGCTAAATAGTCCGTAAGAAAATTTACATCACGCGCGATCTCATTCACCGAGGAGGATTCTTTTAACTCAAACGGCATTAACGCCCGGTCGCCGCTCCACAACATTTGTTTTCCCGTTTTCTCCCTCGAGTCTCTTCTCCGGACGTTACTTGCGAGACTAAAAAAAAAATGTAACATACAATAGCAAAAGATTGATTTATACAAACTCACGTTATTTATATTCTTCAGAATTCAATAAATTAATCTTGGAGAGAAAAATAGGAAGATATTTTGTTGTAGAAAATAATCTCGATTACTTTAGAACTCTGTCTTTCTTGAGATGACTTCAATTAAGCTCCTATAAAGTTCAATTGGCTCGTAAATTAGTTATTGCTTTCCTAACACGATAGAATTATCGATGTCTCGCGATTTAACCCGCGACAGGAAAGATTAGATTAGAAACAAGTTTCTGGAAATCCTTGATCTTGTCGATTTAATTGTCATTGTTAAACCTGGCTGAGGTAAATTTTTCGCAATAAATGTAAGAATTAATCCTTTACTTCTTCGAATTGTGATTTCACGTCAGAGACTTGTGAATTTTATTGTCATTGTTAAATCAATTATTTATATTGAACCTAACCAAACCACAATTGTAAAATGATATTTTTAATTTCTCTTTGTTCTTTATATAAAGTCGTAAACCCCTCCGCTTTGTTTTTACGCGTACTATAATCGTGTGGAAGAATTTTACAATTTTATAAAGCCAATTATTTCAAATTGCTCACGATTAAAAAATTGAAACTCCTGACCCGAGTGTTTTAAGTATGAAAATTTTCTGCTATGCGGTCCGCAACTTATCCTGGCATTATTTTGTGCATAAAAGCTAATAAAAAATTTACCAGCGCAAAAACATATTCGAACGTGTCGATAAAACAGACGACTTCAGGATCCTCAGAGGAGACTGGAATTAAGTTGGCGCTGGGAGTTCATATTTTTCGTATAAAACCTAGCTCAAAGGATTGCTCCATTAGTCCCAGTCTACAATAGATGATTTAAGCCCTAAGCTTTAAGAAATTGGCTAATCACGGTCAAGTATGAGTAGAATGCGCGACTGTGATTAGTCAATTTCTTAAGGCTTAGGGCTTAAATCTCTATTGTAGACTGGGACTTAGAATCCACAATTGCTCCACTTTTAAAATCAATAGTTTTCGAAATATTAACAAAAAACGTAAAAGTTAAAAATTTTACGTTTTTTGTTAATACAATTTCGAAAACTATTGATTTTATAAGTGGAGCAATTGTGGATTGTAATGGAGCAATTCGGGAGCAATCCTTTGAGCTAGGTTTTATACGAAAATATGAACTCCCAGCGCCAACTTAATTCCGGTCCTCAGGAGTACAAAAAAAGATTGCTCAATGTTTTACCGATTGCGGTCCTAAAGTCGTTCAAGTTTCAATAATTTTTCTTCAAAGAAATTGATATTGATCGAAGGCATCCGCGTGCACATCTCACACTGTATTATTCAAGTTGAGGGATCTTCGCGCCTTTTTTTAAGCGAGCAAAGGTCTGTTCGAAAGCTGCGAAACGCGTGCCCGAGGAAATCGACCAATCACTCGCGTGCCTCCGCACTGGACGGGTTACAAGA